TGGCACCTGCTCACTAATTTAAGTCCGAATTAGCAAGGCTCCTCCAAAGGCATGAGCAGTTTGTAGGTGCCATCCAGCTCCTTTGCTTTCAGATAGAGATACACCTCTTTATATATACAACACCAACGAGTTCAATATAGAAAAAACTTTCGAAAATACGAGCAAAAACTTTAAGTAGCAAAAGTTTTTGATAGTTAGACACATGTTCTTGCAGCTTTCGTGGAACATGCGACTGATCCGTAAGGCCAGCTTGTGAACCCCCATCCACCACCATCACCGCCATCGAAACTCACCACCAATCACCATCACCACGATCTCCACTTTCATCATCACCGTCACCTCTTTGGACCCCAATGCGTCTAGATCTCTAGACGTTCGCTGCTACACCTCTAGACCTCAAAAAACACTGTTTGGGGTCTCTTGCCGGGAAAATATTGTGTTTTTCCGGGATAGTGTTTTAATTTTTCCTTTTGTCCCCAGGACTTCTGTGATAGAAAGTTTGAGTGAGAAGTCGCCCGGCGCCCAAAGAAAGCAAAAGGCATTGGGGCATGTGGGCAAAATACAGAAAATAATGAAAGATAAATGCAGGCCATAGTTGTATAAGGCTATATAACGCAAGAGGCAAGGAGCGGTTGACAAGTACAATTCCCAAGAGGCTGTGTATATACACACGGCGTGACCCGTAAGCATGCTTCCAGCAAACAAGCAGCACTATAACGCACCAGCAAACCAGCAGCACACCAGCAGCAGCAGCAGCAGCAGCAAACAGCAGGAGAAGCAGCTGCACACCAACAGCAGACCAGCAGCAGAAAAAGCAGCAAACCAGCAGCAGTGCCAGGAGCAGAAAATCAGCAGGCCATGTGGCTCTGGTGGCCGTGACCACAAACACCTTGATGCAAACGATAACAGTTAAGACAATCTGCACTCAAACAGCACAAACACGGCACTTACAAATAAGTTTCCAAGGTAAGTCACTCTCAGATAACGCCTGCCCCACACACCCGTTCGCAGAAACAACTTCAGCCTTGCCAACAAATTGCCAAGTGAATCCTGAGGTGACCCGTCACATGATCATTAAACAGCAACACAGGAATTGAGGCGATCGCATCACTTTAGCCAGTACAAGATTGCAGGCTTCTTCTTCTTCTTCTTCTGCAAGGTGTCATCAATTCATCGTTCGTCATGCAGCTACCGAAAAGACTCTTTTTGACTAACGATCCATGTCGTACGGCATCACCCCCGGACTTAAGGGCTCCAACTACTCTCTGAGAAGATAGTTGGGGTGGGTGCCAGGGGGTCTAACCATCTTCTGAGGCCCGGGGAAAATATAATTGTGCAACAGTTGGACGCACATTGATGGACAACGTTTGTCAACAACTCACCGACCGAACACTTTAAACATCCTCAAACCTCCTCATTGGCCTCCTAAAACATGAGAAAAACAAGGTCCCCTTGTTCTGGACTGTTTGACCGATTTTACTGGAGTGGATCATAATCATATCACAAGCACGACTCGTGTACTGAGGTTTTCAGCAGCTTTTGGCTCGACTGGACCTACTGGGCCTGTATGGCGGCTGGACCCCTGTCATCCCATCTCGCACTCGGGGACGAGGGTCCTTTCGCTCTCGTTGTATCCCGCGACTTTGGCCGCGTGCTCCCTCGCCCTGACGATGAGGCAAAGCTCAGAGCAGGCTAGCTTGGTGCTGGCGCCAGCACGGGAGATCCAAAACAAGGGGGAGGCGGAGAAAACTCCAAAATGCTTGAGGGATTCAAGGGGTGTACGGTATACATCGGTAAGTTCTATATAGGTATACTTCGATAATCTTCTATACGTGTTTCTGTTCTGATCATTTCAGGGAACATATGGGAACATACACACCTTCGAAAAGGGACATGGTAAATCTTCCTGTTACCATCACAAGGGTTGGGTAAGGGTATGAGGCTTTCCTGGCACCTAGAGTTACCCTATGCGACCCTTAAGGCTTACCCTCTGGTGTTTGATGGTGCTACCTCCGCCACGGCGTCACCGTCCACCCGGTGTGGGAACCGCCGGTCCCGCCGTCCCGTCCGCGCGCGCCTGGCGTTGTGCTCGCTCCGGCGCAGGAGCCGATCGCGGCCCTCGTCCCGCAGGGTGGGAGGCCTCGGGAGGCTCGGGCAACGGTGGCGCCGCGGAGCACATGGGTTTGATTCACATGTGCATTTGTTTAAAGAATCACATGTTTTTTCATTTCAAATGTGTATATATGTATCTTAGATTCATGCCTTCTAAGAGAAACATGCCTTCTAAGAGAATCACAGTTCTTACAGGTATATGTTGGATTTAAGACATGTACAGTGAGAGAACATGCCTTCAGTTCAGTGAGAAACCATGACTATATATTATATAATACTAGTGAAAGAGAGGCAAAGCTCAAATGGTTGGCTCAAATGGTTGACTAAACATCTGTTTTACAGCGCTGCTTTTAGCGGGCTTGATCCGAAATCCGCTGGTGGGCCTTTGATCTCCGCGCGAATCCGAGCGCTCATGCTCGGTCGCTTCAGCGACGTCATGTGACTTGAGGTCCTTCATAGAGGTTCACCTTGAACCTGAAGAGGTTTTGCAATCCATAAATGATGTTCTTAACAACAATAACTGTTCTTATGTGTGTCTATTAATCCCAGAGTCTACAATGGCTCCGGGCCAGAATTGATCCACTTCTTTGGAGGAACCCCCACGCCGGCGCAAGGGCGCCACCCGGAGCGACCAGGAGGGTCGCTCTGCCAGCGGTTTCGCGGCTCCCTGTTTCATGGGGGAAGAACTGGATGTAACATGATGTAACTGGAGACCCCCACCTTGCACCAGCTATAAGCTTTCACACGTTCAAATCTCGACCGATCAAATGATTAAGGCTCTTCCCTGTGAAGGCTGACGCGAAGTCATTAATTGTTGTTTGGGGTCATAGCAACATCCATTCTCTCGTGTCCAAGTTTGGTGACTTTTGCTGGTTTCAGCCATTCAAACATTAATCCAAGTAGTGCTCAAGTGTTGCAATGCGCCCGATCATATTCTAGCACCTAGAGCTTATACCAGTTCTTTTTGCAACAATACAACGCGCACACACACATATATAATATATATATTTGTGTTCATGCTATGATTCTTCCACGATCAAACTGCATTGAACCTAACACCCATGGCCAAGAAAAATGAGCACAAGAAGGTGCTCACCCCCACGACCGCATTTGTAATATTTGTATGTGGTGACAATCTTTCTGCTCATGTGGTGACAATCGTCAATTATATAGATTGCATGCAGTGCCCAAAGGCCAAGTTGCTCATGTGAGCCTGCTTTAACAACGAAAGGGCCTCCAATCCATTTTCATATTCCGTGGTTTTGAGGATATGGTTGGAGCCCTAGGGATTGTTTCCCTTCTACTGTCAAAACCTGAAGGACAAGAATCCACCACAATCAAACGATAGGTGCACTGACTGCAACCTCCTCTTTATCCTCCAAACACGAACCACCTAAAATGCACCCAAATACCAAACACCACACCATGACTTGCTCTCTCCAAGTTTTCGAGGTTTTCCGGAGAAATCCACCAACGTGGTCCTCACGCCAAGGAGCAATAACACCGGCATCGTACCTGCGCGGTGTGCCGGGGGAAGCCCCCTGAGGAGTGGGATGCAGGAAGAATGCATGGAAGGAGCGAGCAAAATGGGCTGCAAAGGGCTACATTGCTATCAAACATGTGCGCCCTCTTTTCTTGCACACAGAAAGTGACTTTAGTACTCTTTAGTGAGTATAAGCGGCAAGCATGCAGGTCTGCATACAGTACAGGGACATCGACGTGTTACTCAGCACCCAACATCAACGTCATTCTAGAATTGCAGCTGTTAATCCATTGGCATTCTGCAATGGAGGTTTAGGAGCACTTCCCCATTGTGCAGGGAATGTCTGCTTTCGGGGCTGACGAGTTGTTGTTTGGCCATCACACCATCCTGCCTCGTCAACATCTCAAACATGTGTTCTCCACCATCAAAAATACACGCACCAAAAACACGCATTGATATCACACTCACACCATCCAGACAGCCCTCTTCGTGGCTCCACCCTTCCAAAACAAGCCGTTGTCACGTCCGCCCTCGCGTGGCCCCGCCTGGGCCCCGCCGGCGGACTTCGCCCACGGGGGGACTCGCGGCGACGAAGAGCGGAGTGGAGCCGAAGCAGACGGAGGGGCAGACGGAGGTCGCTTCAAGGATCCAAGGAGAGGTTCTCCAGGACTTCAAGGATGTGGACATCCTGGATCATTTTCTATCAACTTTCGAAACACCTGTCCTCTCCACATCCTGTCCTTTCTATATCTTTCTATCCAGGATCGGAGTTATCTCTTTGTAAGGAAACAGCCGGGCGAGGACTTCGAGGATCCAGGACTTGGAATCAAAATCAAACCCACTCAGCATGTTCACATCTTCAGCTTCTCACTTCTCGTCATGACATGTCGCATCCCCTTTTTCTTGTCATGATGGAGGTGCCCCCTTGCTGTTTGGAGATTGAACCATCAAGTATGACAAATAACACATAAACAAAAACTATAAAATAAATATGAATGTCGAGGGCCTGTTGCCAAAGATGTTTCACAACAACGGTTAAAACATGTTAAAACGAGTTAAACTAGTTTAGTTGACAAAACAAGACTCAAACAATTAACCTATAGATTAACAACAACCTTTTTAAGTGCACATTTACCCAGGCCGTCTCCCAAGATATCGCCGTTCCTATATGCAAGAACTCTTCTCAGATCTTCTCAAAGAACAGGGCAGTGGTGCATTCACAAATTTGAGTCTGAGCCAAAACCAAATCACATCCTAGCAAAAACTAATAACATTGTCAAAGCGTGCGGAAATCCAGTGGGCAAAGTTCTCGAGTTGAGGAGGGACAAGTCTTGATTTTCACACATGCAAACTCTTCTGGTTCTAGGATGACAAAAAGGCTCAGGCGCAGCCGCAGCCAACTCTTTTCTGTCACACTTCTTGGCTGAAGTACCTCAGCTGCCATCCGTGATCACATCCAGCCGTAGTTTTGGAGGCACCTTGCCTCAGTTTTCACAGCCAAAAATCCGCCATTGATGTCCCGATTGTTTCGAAAAGCTTTAGTTGGCGCCAAAAGCCATTGGTTTCCGGCCTTCTCTGCCTTTGTCCAAAGCAAAGCTGAGTCTGATTGTCTAAATGAGATCAAAATCCCTTCAAACAATATCTATATACATTGCGGCCTCGCTCCCCCACCCAGGCTCCCAGTGATACCCAGTATACACTAGTATACAGAGTTTCTTGTAAAGCCTGTCCGGTACTTGAGAAGAGATGTGCAACCAACCCAGAAAAGCATCAATCCAAACACATCCAAACACCAATCCAAACTCAATGACCAACTTCTCGATTGACACCTCTGGACTGCCATGTGCCACCAGGACATGCGCCCCCATCGCGACTGCCCGTCCGCTGCCCGTCCGCCCAGGCACATGGGTATTCGGGGTCGGAGCAGCACAAGCGCTGCGAGGGATCTCCGCCATTCTCTTTGGGCGCAGGAACCTGGAAAACGGTGCGGGTTCCGGTCCCGGGTTCCCGAACCGGTGCGGTAGAAACGGTACGGTAGGAACCTTCTAACCGGTCCAGTGGTCCGGTCTGGGGTGGCCCTGTGCGTTGAGCTGTTCAAACCTGGCTCGGTGCCGACGCATCAATACGCGGCACTTGTGTGTTCGAGGCATCAAATGCGGCTTGGCTTGGAACACCACACTAACATGGAGCTGCTCAAACAAGGGGGGCCTTCCCTTCTGGCAGGTCTTTTCTTGAGCCCATACATCTCCCTGTTGAGCCTGAGAAATCCAAGTTCACCTACAGTTCTACCTCGACACGACTTCAAGTACCTTGGAACATGGGACGTGACATGACCCTATCAAAACCGGTACCCTCCTGATCCATCCTGTACCCAGTACCCAGTTTTCTGGGTACTTTGGTTCCAGGTATAAACATACTGAGCCTACAGGTCCAGTCTGATCCAATAAGACCTGGTCCTGAACACCTCAGTACACGGGTCGTTTTTTTTGTATGACCAACTCCAAAGGGTCAAGCTGACTGGTAGGGTAAATGATGCAAATGACATCAAAACATAGTTCGCTTGCTTGGCGGTTCATCAAGATGCACGCAGCTCCAAATTAGCTGAAGATTTGGTCAGTCCCGATGCGTCCGATGACCTACTGAACTCCCACTTCTTTCTGAGAAATCATTCCAAATCCATACCCAAACCCCAAGAAGGCACCCCACCAAACCCCACCTCACACCCTTCCATGACCACAACTCACCGACTCTCCGCAAGAAATTCAGCATCCGGAAGGACCGGCGGCATGTTCGCGTGCTTGCTTTTGTAGACTACAGTTACCCTATATAGGAATCCCATGGAATCCCTATAGTCTGAATCCAGCACAAACCATTACTCTAGGACCTCCCGGACGGTTATATACATGATGTTACCACCATAAAACCCATGTCAACCCGATTCAATTTGGATCTTTATATCCATGCTCTGCTCCCCAAGGCACGCAACGGAGGAGCTCCACCTCGTAACGAAGGCCCTCCCTTGGGATTGGCCGGCGCCTGGGTGGAGCCGCGGGCCGCGGTTGGACTCCTCTCCTCTTCCGGGCCGGTCTGGGCCCCGGACAAGGGCGGCTTGACTCCAACGCGCGCCAAGCCGTTGGGATATCCCATGTAGGAGGGCACCTACCGGGAGGAGGGCACCGATGTGTGTGTGAGAGAGAGAATGTGGAGAGATGGAACTCCTATGAAAGCTTCTTCATTCCTGCCCTTCCAAACTTTTTGGAGCCTGGGAACCCTGGGCTAGAGAGTTGAGATTGTGAATGATTGTGAGGTCTTCAAAACCTTACCATGTTTTGAAAAAGGGTGGGCTTGAAAAACCGGCGATGTTCCCGACACCTAGGGGGTCAAGATTGAAACTCGCAAAAACGACCGACCAGTCGACCGACCAGTCGACCAGTCGACCGAAAAGCCCGTGGCACACCACCGACCAACCGGTCGTCATGTGTTGGGATGAAAACTGCTTCTCCATCCTGCACCCCGAAACTGGGCATCGAAGCTGGGACGATGCAAAGCCAGGACAGTTAGAGCCCATGTCAACGTACTTGCAACCCTAAGACGTACGTAGGTGAATCCTCTCGACAACCGAGAAGGAAGCCGACCGCTAAGAGTTTAGAAACTGCATTCTGCACAACATCGGTGCCGAGAAGAAGCCAACATCGGTGGCCGAACTGGCCTGAAACAACACCAAGACGAACACACAAATTAAAGATCCAGAGACGGTGCGCTCTTCTCTTCTCTTTACAGGCTTCGCCTTCCACCCACGGATGTCGCCCGAGGACCCCGCTTGGACCAATCGCACGGAGCCCAAGGTCATGGTGGCCAAAGCCTCCTCCAGGCCCTCGGTGATGCCCTTGCCATGAGCTTTACAGGTCGAGGGTGGGAAGGATGGGGAGGTAGATGTAGGATGATGTAGGTGAGTAAGCTATATAGCAAGATAGTCCATCTAACTACAGGAAGTACCTCATCCTCGAGACCTGCAACAGATTTTCTGTAATGGTGTTTCAAGCTGTAGTTGTTCCACTTGCCCATTGCCCACTATCTTGTTCACACTCCTGCAGCCAGCCCCGAAGCTGAGAATCACTGCCCACACACTGCGCCACATCTTCCGCCTGGGTCATGGTGCCCAAGGAGAACACCAAAGGCGCTCCGTCGGAGTAGGTATCGATGAAGACCTGGGGAGCTTGGTGCTTCATCGTCGATTCGGAACATCATCTGGACGGTATGGGTTGGATGTGAATGTTGAAGGAACTGGGTTGGAAAGGATTGAAACAACTCTGATTTGTTGATTTGTCTATGATTTTGCCCTTGTCAGGTTTTGCTTCATGTACCAAGGAAGTCCAAGGAAAAGCGTTCAAAGCAAAGTCAAGTGAGAAAAGCACATCGTTTCCACTTGAATTCAATCATCAAGCCGTCAAGCCATCCATTTCCCATCCCTTCACCCTTCAAGAAAGGCGCCCCCCATCTCACAGGTCTTCAAGCGGCAGGGTCATCTTTCTCCATCAAGTAGCCTGCCAAGAGGTCCGGACAGGTGGCCAATCACCATGGCTGAGAAAAAAAGAAGAAAACACACACACACACACACACATCTCCATCTCTCTCCATCTCTCTCCATCTCTCTCTGTCTCTGTCTCTCTTTCTCTCTCAAATCTCTCTCCATCTCTCTCTCTGTCTCTGTCTCTGTCTCTCTTTCTCTCTCAAATCTCTCTGTCTTCAGACTTCTTCAGAGTTTCTGTTTTGGGGATCAAACATCCTGGTTCTTTCTAGATCCCTTACCAGCACCATGCCAAAGATGCTGTTTTGGGACCACCCCCTATTGTGTGTGCCCCATCTAGAAGCCATCCTTTGGGGTGGTGCTGGTACTTGGCATTGCGTGATCTTGTGGTGAGAAAGCAAAAAAGGATCATGAAACATCATGAAACTTATGTCAAGGAACCTGGTGACTTTCACTACGTGAGCCTTCCAGCCGTCCTTCTCTACGTGGCATCGATGTGTTCTTTCGGTCTTCGGCCGGACGTCGTGGAAATCTGAACATTCAAGTCGTTGAACTGCGATCTGCAAAAAAAGGGTAAAACAACACAGTTCATGAAGCTTCTGAACCCTGGCCCTTCTGAAGCCTGGGAAAACAACACCTGGCCCTTCTGAAGCTTCTGCTCATGGCAGTAGCCCAGGTGCAGAGGTGGCCAGGTGCTGGCTTCAACAAAGACATCCACACACTACGGAAAATTCCACCAACCTTTTGGTGACTTCAATCGAGACCTGTGGACTGGTCGGTCCACCGAAGAAATCGATGATTGATGACATTCATATATGACCATAGCCTGAGAGTCCAGTCATGACTCATTTTACTCGCATATAGTGGTAGTGGTGGAAATCGATGGAGTCATCATCCTGCCAGGTACCATATGTCACTTCATCACAAGTTCTGCACCCCAGGCGTCACCCGAGCCCGTCCGCGACTTCCGCCTTTCACGTGGGCAAGAACCACGTCTCCCATCTGCGGGACCTGTCGGGACCCGGGAACACGAGGCCACCACAGCCCAACGGGATTCCATTTGGCCTTCTGGCTTGATTGGGGTATCTCGCCGTCTTCTTTTTGAAGATTGGAAGACTGAGAAGTCGACGAAAGACTCAAAGAGTCTGACCCCCAAACTGGGCAGCATCTGAAAGAGGTACCAACACATGGCGGTCCGGGGTCAAAACTGGGAGACCGGCCGGTTGACCTATCAAAATGACAAGAATGGACTACCCCGGTTCTTGCTACTCACCCCGCAAGCCAATACTCACTGTATAGTACTGTAATATTACTTAAGTACTGTAAGTACCATGTGGGTCGCTTCCTGGGAAAACCAAAAACCTACGACGCCACCGAACCCGCCACCGGTCCTCGCCGCGGCCCACTCGGCGGTCGACGTACTGGACGCCCGAGGCCAACTTCACCACCTGGAGAAAAGGTGAGTCAGTTGGTGTTGGTTTAAGCCTGCTCCTACGTCATGAAGTAGGCGCCTACTTGCTGGAGTACAGGAAAATAGTGAGCTACTAGGAACTTGTTTGCTCCTACAGTAGCTAGGACGCAGGATAGTTCACGCTTCTTCAATCAAGCTCCCCCGGCCTGAGGGCGGTGGGGGGAGCTTCCTTGAAGAAGCGCTCGCACTACCAGTCTACTGATTTGGCTCCTGGATTTTTAGGGAAACTTAACTCACGGTCATAAAATCTGAAAAAGGACCTTTGGAAGGACTAGCTTGCTCCAGAAACTAGCGGTCTATCAACATGTTGTTTCATCAGATGTGTTCAGGTTCAAATCTCCTTAAATTATACAGGCGTCTGAGAACATGGACAATTCATACAAATCGAAAGCTGCACACTTCGCCTAACACCTTCCCCACCTCGGAGCCATCCTCCAACTTGCTACGCGCCACCTCCTGCGAGGGCGCTGTTTTTGCTGGCAGATCATGCATGTATGATACAATAAGCACTTATAGTTTAACAGAACTTTCGGCAGGGAATCCTAAGAACCGCCAAGTCAATCGGTGCCTGTCTGCGGTTTCCACCGTTGTTTTCAGGTCTTGAGACACGTCACGTCATGTCTTCATGTTGCAACAACCTCCGCATTGGTCAGACCAGTTTCTCTGCTGAGGGGCACGGCTGGAGCGTAGGAGCTTGGCCCTGGCTGCGCTGGGGCGGCGCGACAAAACCGCGCTGACGCCTTCGGGGCGACCGTAAATGCGGCGAGGTCCCGTGGACTGTGGGCGGTGACTTGGATGTGCTGGATGACTGGATAGCGATAGAAGACCGGGTTGGTGGGTGGGTGTGAACACTGCTACTACGGATAAGGACGCCACGCGCCAAAATGAGCCCAAAAAAACACATGGAACATGCAAACTGTTCTCTGCCACTTTCTTGAAGTTCGTCTTTCGTGCCATGTAACCAAAAAAGCATCTCTTCCAATGCGCTGACCTCACGCGCTTCGCGCGACGCTATCTACGCCGCCGCCTAGGAGCAGAGCTGCGAGGGAGCGCCGCCTCGCTCCTGAAGCGCCGAGCGACCGAGCCACCGAGCCGTCCCAACGAAGGCTGGCTATCCACCTGAACCCAAGCACCTCGGGGTATTGGACACATATGTTGGGTGGTGATTAATACCAAATAGAGGTCATTGGAGGTCACACATATGGGTGGTGATTAAATCCCAAATAGAGGTCATAGGTCCGAGGTCATTAGACATGAGGTCACTCAGGTGACTCAGTGTTGAGACTCCACTCCAGGGCCCACCATGTGTGAATCGCCATGGATTAATCTCCGCGCGTCATGGATCTGACGTTGCTCCAAAATTGTGTGTAGAAGTCAAGAAAAACACAATAGTTGCAATTGGGCTGGTGTTCCATGTAAGTTCACCCATGCAAAGAGAACTACCACAACTGCTTCGAAAATTGAACATCATCCATTATGTTCCCCCTCCTGATTTCAACCATTCCCTTCTATCTGTGTGGCAACCGAACACCCTCTGGAGAAACATGCAGGCTGAGAGAATTGCCACTGAAAAAGATTGAAAAACAACTGCATCAAAACTGGACTTCCACCCATTTCACCCTATCTCCAAACCTTTTCCTCTTACCTTTAGTATCCTTGAATGCTTCATCTCCGCCTCCTCCTCCCCACCCCGGAGGGGAGGACTCCTGGCCGCACCGGTCTCTCTGCCGCGGCACTCACGCTGCGGGCGTGGTAGGTGCTGTGCGCTGGTGCGACGGCCGCGCGTTCCAGTACGCAACGCGCCGAAGGCGCCCAAGGCCAAGGAGCTCGGTGCTCCATAGCGAAAAAAGCACAGGCGTAGTGCGAGCTTCGCTGGAAGAGAACGTTTTGGAACCCGACATCGGTAATTTGAGTATATTTCAATATACAAGTGCTGCAGGTGGTGCTCAAAGGTCCCTACAGCACTAATCTCTAAGCAGTTCGCTTTTTCTTGCTCACAGCTTTGGTGAACCCTGGCAAAATGGAGTCCGGTATCCCGTCATCGAAGCCATGGCCACGAAACATGCAGGTGTTTCGAATCGTTTTCTTCAAGGTGACCATCATCCACGTCCAGGAACACAAAAAATGGAAACAACATATGGAAGTGTCCACTGAGTGTAAGACCAAAACAAACAACCAAACAAACAGGATAAAACCGGTGGGAACCTGGCAATCGAGGTTTTGCTCCAGCCATTTGGAAGATCACCACACTTTTTACAAGACTGTGTTTTTAAGGCAATCCAAAGAAAACACCGAATTCCTGATCTTTTATAAAAGAATAATGAATATTCCTCATGTCCTCCCTAGTTCTCCGGATATCTCTGAGTCTGATCCAACTTCTCCCTTAAAAGTTGACGAAGACTGCAGTAATTTTAAATTCCTGCGGACTGGTCCCGTCTGGGTCTGTTTACGATGGGCCTCAGGTCTCCCTTCAATATGCTCAATATGACATTCCTATATAGTGCTCCTACAGTACCTACGGTAGTACCCATTCCGCCTCTGTTGGGGAAACAAACATGTCTTGGCCTGGCTTCTTGGCGCAGCGGTCACTCATTATTCTGTCCGAGTCTAAGAAGCCAACCCTCCCAAAACCACCATGGAGTCATTCACGGACCCGACATGGCATCTTATTCACTGTTTGAGATGGATTAAGATTTTAATCAAGAGTCCAGCATTATGAGTCTTAGTATGAATTCGGAATTCCTATATTAAACGATTCCGACAGTCCACCCTGACTCATCGTCCAGTCTTAGACTTCTTTTTCTCCATGCAGCCTCATCCCAAACCGCTCGAGTCCCATCCCGGTCGAGGCCGCAACGTCTCGGACGACTTCCCCGAAGTCGAACCTCGAAGCCGCGCACGCGCACGTGCGCGTGGGGAAAAACACAACCACTAACAACGCCTCAAAACACCCAGAAGAAGCCGCCCGCTTATCCGCTTGAAGCTCGGTTTCCGTCTTTTCGAAGCAAAGCGGTCACCGGTCACCCGCTGCGCCACCAGGCCATGGCACTCTGCAAGCCCTCGAGGGCGGAGGACACCTCAAACGCCGAACAACACACGTCGTCACACCTGGGAGTCGGAGTGGTTCATGATGGACACCCAGTCGGACCTCTCTTTTGGGGCTATGAATGGACACCCCAAATCCGTGGCGCTGGCAGAGGCGTGGTTTTGGGTGTTTCCTGGTGGCTAGGGCCCGAAGATCGGTGGTCCTTTTCCTTCGGATTGGTATTGAGGGGCGTAGTGGGCGATCCCCAAAGACCCCAGCGACGGATGTAGAAGGACGCGTGAAACACAGGAAGCGACGTCTTCATTGCAATAGATAGATATACCCCTTATCATCAATAGATAGGTCCTGGTAGGGGTACTGAATCCTGACACTAAGCCCGGACTGGCACCGTGTAGAGCTCTTTCCAAATCGATAAGAGGAGATATCAGGAGTCGTCCTTGTTCAACGCCCAACAAACCGCTTTTCCAAAACGTACCAGGACCCGACACTGTCGGGGTGTCTATTTATAGCCCCTTAGCTGCCCTGGTAGTGAAATCTGTTCCATATGTTTCTTTGTTCAGAACGATGCAATGCAGGCTATCTCTCCGCTTGCCAGTCCTCTTCCAGACCTGAAGCTGGCAAAGCCGTGAAACTTTTCATCTTCGCTTCGGCCCAGGCACCACGTTTTCAAGCTGAGCCCCAGCGCATTGCTGCAAGACCTCGCGCATAAGCGAATGCACCGATGCGCGCATGCATAATTACGCATGTGCGTCGACCAGGCGATGTAGAATGTGGAAGAGTCAAAGCAGTGACCCCGTGTGGAAGCGATACATCTGGAGTTCTTCCAAGCTGGGGACATCAGCCACTCGCCCGTGATCCTGGCATATAATTACTCAATAGTAAAATCCAATCACTCTTGAAAAATGGATCAGCCAGCAGGTCAGAAACAGGCGGGAGAAGCTGCGGGCGACCCCAAGAAAGGCTTCACATGATGGTGTTCCATCTCTCAACGTTCGTGCCGGAGTGCCACCGGTGCCACCGGTGCCACCGGTGCCACGAGACGATGGAACCTGGTGGACCTGGCCTTTCTCTATCCCAGATACTCCATGTATGCCATATATGCCTACATTGACCCCCCAAAACCACCCCAATGTAGGCATATATGCCATACATGGAGTGTCTGGGTATGACTTGATGTGACGGATACCGACGGTGACTGGTCATGGGCTGCACCCTGGTACATGATGACTTTGGCTACTTTAACTTGCATGTCGTCACCCATTCAAGATCTGCACCGGACCGGACCAGCCGCACTCTCGTTTTCTATGAGACTCATGTGCTCCCAGTGCCGTGTGGTCCAAAAAGAAGGGGCAACGGTCCCAGGAGCCAGGTGTGGAACACGGTCCAAACAACACGCTCCTGGGCTCCCAGTAGTTCTATGCTTTTTCTCGGGATGATGGGTCCCCATATGTTGGGCATCCCATTACCAGTAATAGACATTTTGATTGGTATATAAAGCACCCTGCAAAGATAGCTTTCAATCTCCATTAATGGGCATCTCGATTTATCAACAGTCGGCAATAACAGTTGATGATGATGATGATGATGATGATGATGATGATGATTCAAATTGTCTTAACCTAAAGGCCTATAGCCTATTCCCATCAAACGTTGTTTTTTTGCGATGCTCTCTTACCCACCTTTAAGTGGGACAAAAGAACACCCTCGACCTCCCGGTCACCTCCTTCCCACGAGACCCGTGCTCGTGCTCGGCTCGGTGCGGTGCCCGCCGGTCCTCCTCGGATTCGATGACCGGCGCGGTGAAGGACCGGCGCATGGCCCGGCGCTGGGCCAAGACGTCGCTGCCTCCGGTCGCAGGACGGTAGGAGGGACTGGGGAGGCGACTTTCGGTGATGGATGGTGGAAAGGGAGCGAAAAAGGAAGGAAAGAACGTTGTCTGTGAAAACAGATTGGGTTGGTGGTAGATAGATGTAACATAGTGTAGATGGTCATAGATGGTAGATGGTCAAAGTAAACACCAATTCGTTGAACCAAATGATTGGCTGCTACGGCTGGTTGTACGTTAGCTCACCACCTTTTGGTCACATCTCCTCATCCTTGGATTTGCAAGCCCCACAAAACGAAATGGAAAGGAATTCACCCATTTTTTGTTGGAACACACCAAAACGCGCCAAACGGCAGGTCATGGTCATCTCCCGTCTTCCAAGCGGAGCGGTCTGCCCCAAAAACCGCCGTGTGCTGCCTGGTGCCAGGGCCTCGGCAAAGGCCGCATGGTAATCCGCCCGTGGGCCATATGTCGAAACAGCGGCGACCGGGGAGTCGCTATTGGCCCAGGGAGGCTCCAGGGCCCAGTCAATGGCCACGAGAAGCACCTGCAGTGGAGGGGGGTCAGGAGGCATGGGGGCAGGGGAGTACGAGGGGCCGGGCAGGACCCCAACACTGCAAGGGGCCATGTGATCCATGGTCTGATGTCAGAAAGTAAAACCTCAAAATGCATCTATATAGACTCTAGAGAAGTGCCAACAAAAAGCCATCCAAAGTGTTTTGGTACATCGTTTCGACCCATTTGGTGACAGATCAGTGGATCCTTTAGAAAGGACTCAATTATCAGGAAGCAAGTTTCAGAAATCCCGTTTTTGGATCTCAATCCTGGACTCCAAATATTCTACCATCTCCAGGGTCGGACACGGGGTCAGTCTTGACCTTGGAACCACTGCCAGGCCTACTGCTGGGCAATGGATCTATATACAGTTCAAGGGATGTGAATGCTGCGGGCGCACCTTGGGTCGGTCCCTTATACATCCAATTCCAAGGATCGCTTCTACTTCGTCAAATTGAAAAATCACAACAACTGGTAGGACAAGGGAGTCTAAATCTGATGTCCCATCTGTCATCCAAACTTCCTCTACCACCTTCCTCTACCGTTGCACCACATTGAAATCCAAGAGGGATAGCTTACTGGATACCCTGCACCAACCAACCATGCTGTGTTGGGCCCGACCCGCCTCACAAAGACGCTTCTTTTCGGCCACCTCGGCGTTCTCCAGCGCCTTCAGCGCCAGTTGCAACGCCTGTGCCTCGAGGCAAACGGCTTCCGCAAATACAAGTTCATCTCTTCCCTGTCAGTACCTTCCGAATCCGTCAAAGTACTTGGGGAGTCCGTCCTTTTGTTCGAAGGATGCACCTGCATCAAGAACTTTTGAAGAAGGGCTCATAGAGGACATCAGAGATTCTGCCCTTGCAGGTTGAGAGTGCTTGGAGCATAGAATAACTTTTGCTGGAACGCCCCTACCCAACTGGTCTTCTCTGTTCAACCAGTAACGACAGGGCCGGCATTTCACTGGGATTTCAGACTCCAACAACACCTCACAATAATAACAACAATAAAAATAGATAATAATATACACACATGTTTCAGGGTTTCAAGGTTGAACATCAAATATCTGACACCACCAGCCATATATATATAGTCTAAATTAAAAAACTGGCTATATATGATCGAGTGTGTCTATCGTAACACGATATACTATTATCTATATAAATTTGTGACAACTCATGTTATTTAGATTGAGGTATACAATATTATATACACACACTTTATTCAACTATATATACATAAACTACAACAACACAAAACACATAGTACTTTCAATGTAGTGTTGGAACATAATTGTTAAAAATATCTAAGCTTAAAGCTTATATATAACTATATATAACTATACATTATATACTATATATTATTATAGTATTCAATAAACATAAACTTAGAGCCTGAGTGGCCAACAACACAAAATATGGTCAAACTTCCTGTGAACAAAAAGCACTAGTCACTAGCAATATGTTATAACATATTATCAATCATATTATAAGGCCGCCTCCACCATCCTTCTCCCAAACTCCCCAAGGCACATCAACCTTGGGTCGCAGCGCAGGTCCCTCGAGTGCAATGGCTGCCTCCTTGGCGAACTGGACGTCTCCCAAGAATCCATGGAACTGCTCCACAACTTGTATATCCCATGACCAGGGCGGGCCTATAATAGTGCATGATGGAAGAATTGAAAGACTTTCTCAAACTTCTTGATACTCCCTTTTCGACTCTTACTGGCACCAACTGGGACAAGTATTCGGTTTGGAAAGTATCCGACTGAGCCCGTGATCAAGTAGTGGAGGATATCCCATGATCAAGCACTTTCTTCAAGATCATGTAGATTGTGTCATGTCACTAGGATTTATGAAACTACAAACTACACACATCTCGACTCGCTGGTTGGTTCTGTCATGCTGAATAGCCGGCCAGACCTGCTAGCAACATCTATAGCTTCCATCCGCGGACGGGTGCGAGACCATCCTTTTTCGGACGCCGTAGTAATGTCGTGTCGTTTATCTTGCCTGCTTCGCCAGGTGTGCTAAGGCCTGCTTCAGCCGGGCAGCCTTAGAGTGGGAAGATGTTCCAGGTGGATGGAGGAAGAAAGCGATTCCAAAGACCAGGGGGTGAAACAACTGAAATTCCAGGTCCAGAGTCTGACCTACCCCCCAAAAAAGGGACCTTCACCCGATTCGATGCAGGCACTGGAACCCTCAAACCCTCTTCCGGACGCTTCTTCCGCACCAAGGCATCAGCCCCAGCGGCCAAGCGCCCTTGCTGCGCCAGGGCCTCGGCCCACCGCCGCTCGGCGGCGCGGCGCGCGGCACGCGCGGTGGCGCAGCGGGCATGCAGGGTCTGCAGGCGGTGGAAGAGAGCGAGGCAAAGGAGAAGCGTCACCTGGTTGTGCCGATGCGGAGGACTGAACATGCTGCCATGCAGCAGGTGAAGGTGGTCCGGAAGAGGAGCGAGCTCGGAACGGAGACGGAGCAGTGCGGACGGAGACGGTGCCAGGAATTCGGTTCTTTTTACAGTGTGGATGCTTGGGGATGGTGGTCCTTGGGGGTGGGGAGCGCAGGGTGGAAGGCTTCACCGAAGCTTGAGGCGCCAGGGAGAGGCAGGTTTGAGGCTTGAGGACCATGTCTTTTGGCCTTCTGAATGGCCCGGAAGAGCAGTTCTTGGATAATCAATACTATGTATGATACGACTGTCGGTCCTTTGTCCCCATCCAGCTTTGTGAAGCCTCTGAGAGCGCCATTTCGATCGCCACTTCGGTGCTGGGCTGGATGATGCCTACACTCCTGAAGACGAACATATAGACCCTATAGCTGTCTGGCCCCCTGGGTCCGAGTGTTTTCCTCTACCAACCAGTGGTTTTCAGGGTCCCTGTTAGTCTTCCAGGGTGTAGCTCAAGTTCTACCTCCAAAGGGGCTGAGTTTTGGGACACCTCACAGGGTCTCGCACCCCAAAAACGAGGAGCCACACGACCACTCCTCCACCGGACAAAAAACATATAACAACATCACCCGGAAGGACATTTATCTTTGGGGGCACAAAATACCCTACCCTGCCAAACCTGGTCTGGCCTGGTCTCTTTCAAGCCTCCTTGAGTGGTGTGTTGATATGATTGGACCATTCCTGTGCATCATAGTGTCAACCTGACCGGGCTAGAGCTGTGAAACAATATCAAGCCGCCATCGGTTTCATGGAACCAAGGACGAACATTGTGCAATCTCGCCCAGACATGACCATGACCTGTCTACCGGAAGATTTGCCAACATGAACCCCCAGGGAAAAACCGCCCCACTGTGTATATGCCAGTCCCAAGCAGGTCATCAGTCATCTTTGCGATGGGTTGACCCAGGTGTGCTAGGAGATCAGGTGACCCAGGTGAAGAAATCGAGACCCAGGTGACCAGCAACGCCGGCGTCCACCCGGCACCGGCCGCAACGGCCACGGTGCACACGGCGGCCGTTGTAGTGCCAAGGACGGGCACCATGCCATGGCGAGAAGTGGGAGATGAAATACGAAGATGAGCGGGAGAGGGAGTTATTGAGTCTGGAAGGACTTGTGTAACTTGTAGCAAACAAAAAGGCACCATCTATACTGGATCGGCTGCCTACACTCTTGGTCCAACGAGCGGCTCTTGGTCCATTGCTTCACTCTTGGCACCAAAGCACCTGTCCCACGTGGCCGATGTGTTGTGGCACCGCTGAACGGTGACCGATGAGTACTGGTGACGCCGTGGTCAGATGTGGTGCAGAGATCGAGACTCTCGAGTCCTGAAATTGGGTCGATGTGTTTACGGCATGAAAAGTCTAAATATGTCTAAATACAAGTTGCGTATATACGTGTAGGTAGGCTATAGTCGGTCATATTGGTCTACTTGGCCCGATCATGCACTAATCTTTAAAGGCAATTTCGCGGGCTGGATGTGGTCGTCTCTGAGATGCCCAATTTCGCGCCACGTGGCTGGTGCTGGCCTTGTGTAACCGCATGCAAGAAAAAACACCTACTAATCGAAGTTTGTGGAGTGTGTACCAGCACCCTCCAACAGGTCACTAATTGAAACCTGTTATAAGGCCTAACAACCCTCCATTTCGGAGACCTGTTGAAGGTTGCTGGTATATGTTCATAGGGAGATGCCTGACCCATACTGTAGACATCTGTAGACTGGTCTATACTTCCGAACCTTTCCGGGGGTCGAACTGGGAGGTCTCTCAAGGACTGAGCTACACATTTACATGTACATGACTGGACTCTGTGATCCAAAAAGGCGAGCCTCCTGCGAGTTTCATTCAAGCTGTGTTTGACATCAGGGCATGCGCAACCAAAACCATCTATCTGCCTATTTCGGCAGTGCGGCCCTCCATAGCAAACCCTCCCCAAGCATAAATCTGGAACCCGAACTCAACCAATCCTCGAAAAAAGGCTCTGGGTCCAAACCCTTTTCACTGTTCAGGCCTGAGAATTCGGGTCGACTCGCCGGCGTGGTCGATGCCGCAGAAAACCCACGTGTCGTGCAAGCATCGAACGGGAACATGGCCCCCTATCCCAGAGTCTCCATGGGACTGCCATGCCGATCAATTGGGGTGGTGCCAGGGGGGTCAATGTAGGCATATATGGCAGTCCCATGGAGTGTCTGGGTATAGAAAGACCATGAACTCTTGTACAAACACAAGATGAACTCCACGGAGACCATGAACTCGTTGGAGGGAGGGATTTCTCCGCCATCCTCCGAGGGATTTGCTGCTGTGGTGAGAAAAAGGCTGGTGAGTGCGAGCTAATTGGCCGGTCGAAAGGTTCGCTTTGGTATATTCAATCATATGATATATGTATGTTGCAATACATGGCAATACCACTGGGGGGGTCCTGGTCGTGATTTTACAGACACAAAACGGTGGACCTGGACCCCTAGATTCTTATATATTATGATACCATCAGAATGATATGCTCTTGCCCTCAAACAAATAGGGTTTGGAGGGCCCGGACCCCTGCGAAGAGGTCGGGTCCGACCCCTGCCATGGAGAGCGATTCTATAGGGTGGAGCCAAACATTACGTATAAGTACCATGTCCATATATGTCTCAGGAACACGAATCATGTTTCTTGTTGCTTGGCCTTTGGCTTCCATTCTGTTGAAATTAGCAAACACCCAGAGGTCTTCATGACCTTCTCCAACAAAAGGTACAAGTCAACATATCAGCAAACACATCTTCAACCCCCCAAATGGAAAAGAAACAAAGCCACATCCGCCAGCGTGCCAGCCTTCGTTTTCGCCTTGGGTCCGGGTCTAGACCAGTCGAAAACGCCTTAAAGGGCCATGTTTGACACGTCCCAAGGCATTTCTCCGTCCCGGATGGCTTAAAGCCCCCAAGCAATGGCCGCTCGGGAGCACCGAGACCAGGCAGATGAATTCCATGGCAGCGCGCTTCGCTGAGCTGCAAGACAACGAATTCGAAGGATTGGAGGACTCCGCCTCCGACTCGGCACGCTGGGCATTTCTGCGATGGAAAGCAACCGCAACAAGTCCACTCGATTTCCACTGGCAGATTGTATACCGACTGTCTCATCTCTTGAAACTTTAACACGACTTGTCTGGGACTGGCAGTCCTGACTCCCAATCAGGCCAGTGGTGGCTGACCTGGGGTCAATGTAGTGTAGGTAAATAGAATTAAACCCTAGGGCTCCAAGCATATCTTCAGGTGGTTAGACCTCGCAAATCCATCCCAACCATCCTCTCAGGAGGTAGTTGGAGCCCTATAACGATGCCGGTCCCAAACAAATCCTGTCTGGATATCCTTCCACAGGATGCCCGGAATTGGGCGCACCACTCAAGTGCCTGCCAGGGCGGCCGGCTTCAAAAGCGTGAGCGCGAGTGCTCAGGTATTAGCCGTGAGATGGGCATTGAAGCGTCAGCCCCAGGTCTTCCAAGCTGTACTGCATATATACACAGGTGGGGAGAAGACTTTTTGGAAGTCCCAAGTCGAAATGATGTCTCCCAAGCTATAGTTGAGGATGATGGTGACAGAATCACATGGTTTGACTAACCATCTTCTTTTTCAATCACATCAGCAACCTCAACAAAAATCCCTCCTTTTTTTCGAACGCTCCATCCAAATGGGAATGATCCCAACCCAAGGCCCAAGCCCACCCAGCCTGGCACCGGCGCAACTTCTCCCTCTGAAGCCACCACGGCGTCTGTCGCCGGGTTCGCACGGTCGAGCCATCCGGAATCCAGCACCTTCAAGGCGTTGCGGCACAATGGCTGGCACAGGTGAGGATCTGGAGGATGGGATAAATGAATGTTATAGATATATACACCAAAAAACACATGCATATTATACATGGCTTTGAAAAAATGTCGGTGCTGCTGGTGAGTTTTCAGAGGACTTCATGCAAAACTGTGGTTGCTTTCAGTTTCAACCTTTAAGTTCTTGGAGAGGGTCAAATCAAGTCGGATTTGCATTTGAGAGGATCAACTTGATGATATGAGTGGATCGATTGTTCGTAAACGGGGCTCCAAAATGGGATAGAAGCAGCTGTGGCTGGAACACAGTGGTTGTGCTGAAGGGTACTAATACCCACCTATGCAAGTCTCAAACAAACATGTGAAAAGTCGCGATTTCTGCATGTGTTTTTGTTGAAAATTGAAAGCAAAGAATGTTGGAACAAATCCCATGAACTACTGTTGATGGACCAAATCCTCGCATCACCAGATTCACCAAATCCGCACACAGCGAACCGGCATGTTCCAAACGAATGCCGTGGCCGTGGGCTCTCCACAGGTTTCGCTTCGGTTTCACCCCTCTTCTCCCCGCATGGCCCACGTGCATGCCCACGTGCGCATGGCCCACGTCTAAACCTGAAGTGTATTCGGAATATGGTATTCATGGTCTGAAAACCATCTAAACCCAACCCTCCTGGTGCTCAAGGCGAATCTCACGTTGTGACCAGTACCATGGCACAACATGTAAGCCTCTCTCCAACAATGTCCTCTACAAGCAGGGGGTTGTCCACTTCCATGATTTGGGAGGGCAAAAGGACCACCATCCGTCGTCTGGGTCCGCAAGCGGAAAAGAACACCGGTTATCATCAGAGGTGGGCCTTGCGCATGATGTGCAAAAAGGTCAAAAAGTTAATATCCTCATCTCCATCGCCACTGGTCTCTAAGGCGGAACCTTGGAGAAGATCGAACTGAAGGTATTACACAGGGTGGATCGTAAAGCATAGATGCTAGACTGGCACCTACCGTACCCAACGTGAAAGCACTGCAAAACAGAAGAGCCCTCTTAGATGCTTTTGAAGTCTACTGGCTGTTCAAAGGAGAGTTCTGCGACTGACCTCGTCTGTCCTGTCTTCGTCTTCGTCTTCCAACATGGGGTAGTGTAAAAACCCCGTGTCTTTTGCAATACCTCGAAACCATGTTATCGTTTATTTACTCTTATCGTTTTCTCAGGTGAAAGCATCTTTGTTGGAAGATCACAAATCAAAACATGTCATTTGGTGGTCTACATGGTCCTACTTCAGGATCCCGTAGCACTGCCTGTACCAAGGCGTACACCGTCTTTGGTGGTAAAGACATGGCAGCAGCAAAGATCAGATATAGACAGCTAAACAAGACTACCACATCGCACACTTCTGCCCTTCAAAAGGTCTAATGAACACAGTCAAATGGGTACTTGCCCACCATGCTATTTGCTACATTTCCTTATCGTTTTCGTTTTGTTATCGTTCCGGACACCTCTGCAGGTTGCCATTTTCGTGGTTCATGTAAACAGCTGCAGCATATGGACCAAACAGCCCATTCAGTTCCTAGTAGTAAGGCCAGGAGCCCCTAAGAGCTTCTTGTTCCTGGTAGCGATGCCAGGAGCCCCTAGTAGCTGCGTGTTGCTTTGTAGTAAGGCAAGCTTCTTGTTGCTAGTAGTAAGGCCAGGAGCCCCTAGTAGCTTTTTGTTCTGAATGTGCAGGTATAATCATTGTTATCGGTTTTTTACTCTTCGTTTTCTGGGGTAGGAATGCATTAGTAGTGTTAAGGTGCATGCCAATACTAAACCGCTGAGCACATGCATCTGTGCTCTTCCGCAGCCATGCCAAACTCCTGGCCCCTCAAAGGCCACCATCTAATCACCATCGACGCAATTTTCGACGCCCTCCCCCAGCACGACCAGCTTCAAACATGTCTCGCCAAGCTTCGGCAGAGCATCAGCAGGCGTTGCTTGTCCGGCTCCTTCAGTTTGAAGCTGCCCGCCAACATCTCGGTCACCTCCTCAAAGGGCAACCTCGTCCATGTTCGATCGATCGACGTGGCTTTTGTACCTCCCACACTGGACAGTTGAAAGATGTTGAAAGATAAGCACCCTTGGGCAAAGGACAGGTGGAATTCCCTTGGGCAAAGAGAGACGAAAGGCAACATGAATGTGGAGGTATGTGGAGCAGAAGGCCCTGGATGAGAAATTATCACTTCTGGACATCTGTGACAAGATGATTAATTGATTCAATCCGTTTCATGCAAAGACTGATTGATGGATTGCTTTGCGATGATACAGGAACTTGGAACAAAAAGGTCCTGAATAAGGTCATCATCCACCAAGCCGGTATATATTCCTAATTTTTCCTTTTTGGAGCCTTTTGGAAGATTCAGGCCAAGCATATCAATGGCGGGAGGCGCTGGCTCGTCAAGGCTCACTAGCCCAGATTCAATCTATATAACGTATATAACCCTAGGGCTCCAACCATATCCTCAGAAGGGTGTTAGCCTCGGCAAATCCATCCCAGCCATGTTCTCAGGAGGTAGTTGGAGCCCTAGGCAAAATTTGGTGGACAAAGGATATCAAGTGCTTCGCATTCCCATTCCTTCCTGGGGTCTCTTCATTCCTTCCTGGTGAACCACAAACATCTCGTTTGGACATCGGGACGCTCTGGACAACATGAAACAACCTCCCACACATCGACACCATCGGCTTGTGGATTTGCCTCTTGGGTTTAGAACGACCTGTAGGAATCACTGGGCCCGTCCATCGCCGCTATGTAGTCACACAAAATCACACAACCACAACCAGTACTGTTGGATCTTGATTAGTAAAAGGGTCCGCTAAATTTTGGAAAAATATTGACATCCTGTTTGTTTTAGCTGTCGCCGCTGTTAGCGACCCCAGAGGAAATCACGATTTTTTGTGGGGTTGGGTTGGGGTGGGGCGGGGCACGTGAACGTTCGCTTGCACTTACGTCACGAAGTTGATGCTTCGTGGTTGATGTGGGGTGGGGTGGGGTGGGGTGGGGCATGTTAACGTTTGCTTGCACTTGCGTCACGAAGTTGATGCTTCGTGTTTGATGTGGGGTGGGGTGGGGCTTAACGTTCGCTTGCACTTGCGTCACGAAGTTGATGCTTCGTGGTTAATGTGGGGTGGGGTGGGGTGGGGTGGGGTGGGGCATGTTAACGTTCGCTTGCACTTGCGTCACGCAGTTGATGCTTTGTGGTTGATGTGGGGTGATGCAAAACGCGTCGATCAATATGTCCGCAGTTTTCAGTTTCGGTGGAACAACAGAGGAAATTTGCTTGAGGCGTTGGCCCGAACGTGGCCGCAAGTGTAAAGAACATACACCTGCAAAACGCGTGTGCGCCAAAAAGTGCACTTTCTGCTCTTCCCCATTCTAAATTCCACGTTACCAAGTGCCGTCCCTTCTAAAAAATGGGATGAAAGTACATATATGATCCAACCTCTCCCAAATGAAAAAATGAAACACATGGGAGGTTTTGAGCACTGTCCACTTCGGCGCTGTGCGAATCGCACAGGGTGACTATTAAATTATTAGCGGCGGTACCTTGTTTTAAGGGTCCTCTATTAAATTATGCTATTTTTTGGGGGATCCTTATGTTTTATTATCTGAATAATGAATTTGTTTTAAAGGTCCTCAATTGTGCAAAGTTGTTTCCTGAATATAAACATAGTAATTCTTCGAATTCTTAATACTACTAAGCCAAAGGTTGGCTTTCTGAGAGTATGCCACTGTTGTGCCCCCCCGAAATAAGCTTTCAACATCTCGGCATGGCCCGTCCCATGTCCCCTGCCAAATGTAGGCCGCTCGCACTCTCATCCGAGAGGCCGCTCCCGGTGGCCAGCCACCGTGAGGAAGAACTGGCGGATCTCGCCCACCTCCTGACGCCAGAAGCTGGGCGGGTGGCCCGCCAACGGCGCCAACGCGGCGCACGCGCGGCGCACGCTGGCTTCAGGTCAGGACACCTGCTCTGGACCGGATTCTTAGGAAAAAGAAGCTCCGCGAGAGGTGGGCTTGAAAAAGGGCTGGCCAATGAATTGTCTAAACACGTCTGAATCAATGTGTTTCGTATAAAAATTCTCCACGGGAGGGTCAAACTGGCACGTCTTTCTTTTAACAGTTCCCACATGTTGCCACCGATCGTGTCAGGACGTCGGAGGGTGGATCCATATGCCGTATTTTTCTGGGTCCTCTCACAGATGAGACCACTAAAAGAATAGTGGACCTGGTTTTGCAGTGTAAAACCTCTAGTAAGACAATGGAGGTTCGGAAAACTATTATCTAAACAAATAATGGCGGTTGGAAGCTTGGGGCAAAGGTGCCGGCACAAACTCGGATTGCACTTTGAGAAGTGGTGGATGAACTTCGTAGCATCTCACGACGGCGGTCAAAATTACTCGCTGAGGTGAGGTGGGATTACAAGCAGATGGCACAAGTTACCCCAGTGCCGATGGTTTATATGGACCCCATAGGAAAAACATCATTGGGTGCCAGTGCCATCTACTCTGAAATCACTGTAGAACTGCAGGTTAGTAGCCAATTGCTGAGGGTGCCTAATAGTCCTGTAGGATTCTTGGATGAAATGTGGTGACCTTTTTTACAAATCCTCCAAGAAACTGCCAATCAGCCGACATGAAGCAACCTCATAGATAATGTTATATCTAAGTTGTATACCTAGATCCACCGCTATGTGAAAATAATGTCGTTTGGTGGAACTACAATCTTTATTGTCGTTTAAACGAAGAACTGCTGTTTGAAAAAAACTGTCGTTTGCCCTTCGCCCAGTCCGCGCCTCGATTCTTGCCAGCTCTCTTGGGAAGATGATCTTGGAAAATAGGTTGAAGTTAAGATTATTTAAGATCTAAAGTTCTTGACTATAAGATAGTCTATGTTTTCTGTACCAAGTGGTTGGCTTTCAAGCCTTGGGTTGTCAAACAGTCCCCTCAAGAACCTGAAAGGCTCATCATCCTAGATATACCTAGACATAGTAGTCGAGCTTTGCCACCTCCCCCACGTGACCGTTTCATCTTCGAGCACTTCATGTCCTTTGCTCGCTGGGGCCTCAGGGGCTTTGAAGGCCGGACGACCTTGGAGCTGGCGTTGGACTTGCGATAGCGGCGGTGAAGCATGTAAGCTTTCACTAGAAAGCATTGTAAGACTCGGCCACTGATTCCTCTTGAGTCTAGCCTCCTCGATAAACGAGCAAGCTTCCCGACACTGTCTTCATTGCCCTCACAGTTGTAACACAAAGGGCTCAACACCACCTGCGATCCTCGTGAGAGCTGCTGGCGGATTTCCACTAATGTGTGTTTCCACATGTGCTGTTTAGGTTTGATGGCAAACAGGTTCATGGAGCCAAGACAATGCTGGGCCAGAAGGCAGTAGCCAGCCATGAAAGAGTTCCCATCACGACACAAGGCAACAGCGCACTGCCGATCAAGAAATAAACCATGTAGATACATGCGGTCGTAGTAGCTCAAGGCGGCGTGAACTGTTTGACACATCAGCTGGAGGACAGCCCGGTCGCCGGAGCAGGTTGAAGGGTCAACCTGGAAACCAGTCAGTTGCACACACAGCCATCGGCACAGAAGTACTGTATCGCTTCCCTTGGTGTTGGTCCAGGGAAATGAGCGCCGAGACTTGTAGCAAAACAGATTCTTTGAGAAGCTGCGCAAAGCTGGGCTTGCACCCACACCATTGCAATACAACCTGAAGGCACCAAAAGCAGTGATCAATTTGCTTGGCACATCACCCATGCCAAAGAAGCCCTTCTCTAAACACCAAAAGACACAGCTCCCAACCACATCCCTCAAAGTGCCAAGCTTGCCAATGTGGAAAGGGTCTTTCTGGTAAAACGACTCTGGCGCTGCATCGTTGAAGGGGATTTGGAGAAGAACTGGGTCAGAAGTCCATGGCCTGCTAACGTGAACGGTCTGCTCCCAAACTGGAAACTCTTGGAAATCCTCCCAGCTGATGCCTGGGGAACCCCCCAGGCACTCGTGACAACACTGCAGGTCTCTCACCCTGCCCTGGTTTTCGTAGGACCTGGAAAGGCCACCAATCTGCGTGTGCCACTTCATGTCCGCTTTCGAGCCTAACATGGCGCAACAAAAAATATGATTGTGGGGACCAACAACTCCTTCGTAGAATAAGGCCTTGAGCTGCTGGGCAAGCATCTTGTGGAAGCTGTATGCAATGTCAGGATTCTGTTTGTATACTATTCCAGGGATGACGACCAACGGCCATCTTTGCAAGAAGGAATGCCCTTTTGTGTTGGTTCTCATGTTCTGAACTGCACGCAGGGCATCAGGTCCAAGAGAATTGGCAGCGTGGCCAGGTTGTGCCTGGTACTTGTTAAGCTCCATGGGTGACGGGTGACAACCACAATCTCTTTTCCTTTTCTTGGACGGAAAATCTAGGCCAAAAGGTGTCTCCAGACTCGCTATCATTGTTCCAGTTCTTCTCTTTCCACGGCCTTCATCGCCGTGGAGAAGGAGTGGAAGCGTGTAAGCCAGATCCGAATCATGGGTTGTGTAGACTTTGTGACTTGGGTGGAGCTGCCTGTAGGCAGCCCAAAAGGACTGTAGATGCACTGCACGATCATGGTCAGAGAAATCGCCACCCAATAAAATATCAGGTGTGTTGTTCAACAAAAAATGTATCAAATCCTTGGGAGCCAAGTATTTGAGAACCACAATCTCCCCATTGGAGGCAGTCCATTCAAACGTGCTCAACGGAACTCTCCATCCAATACCAAACTTGTGAAAAGTACGCCAGGCAGTTCTTTGGGCGTTTTTTTTCCAACCACCTTTCGCTCCGTCAGCATCGCTGAGGTCACCCCTTTCTTCCATGGCAGCACGGCGCATCCCGCCAGCTGTGACGGCTGGAACCTCAGCGAAGGGAGGCAAATGCGGAGAAGACCTACAGTAGTAGCTCAGCAGACCAATAAGGAGCGGGCCCCGTCAGCAATAGCTTCAGCATAGCTGTGTGTCAAAGGACCAGCCACGGGCTCTCCACCTGGCTCGCATTTTTGTTAAAGGAACGATAGCTGGCTATTGAAGAAACAGTCAACGGCTTTGCCATTTGTTTTTTTGCTGCAGCTCGTTTCAATGCCCGATGAAGGTCGTTTGTGTGAAATCACACACGTCAAACTTGAATTGCTTCATCCAAAGTTGGTGACCGAAAAACAAAGGCAAAAGTTTACATACAAGTGAAGCAGAACAACTATTTGTCACCCAACAAGTCACCAACCATTGGTAATCCCCCCCTCAAACAACAGTGACTCAGCTTTTGGCCCGCTTTCCCGGGGCTGAATCAGGCTCAGAGGCATTGGCGGTCTGCTTTGCCTTGGCCTTGGTTTTGGCCTTGGGAGCACCCGCCTTAGCCTTAGCCGCCTTAGCCTTGCCTCGGGCACGGCCGGCTCGGTTCTTCCGTGTTGAAGATTGACTCACTTTGGGCAGAAGAGACCTGCACGGAAGGTATGGGTGACGCTTGACCATGCTGTGCACAAAGGGGAAATGAGCTTTGTTCGGTGTTCAAAGCTCATGCCCTCCATCGCCCTGGCGAAGGAAACAGGTGAACAAATTGTGTTTCTTGGCCAACCCTAGCTTTCAACATTGTAAAATCTCCACATGCCTTCTGCGGGCATCACCGTACAAGCGTTCGATGGTCTTCTCTGACCTTTGCAGCAGCTATGGCAAACACAGATGGGAAGAAACTATTTGACATTGAAGCAAAACAAGCAACCCCACAAAGGTCATAAGGTGGGTACTCCTTCGAGAAACCATCAACAACACCCGCAGTGTATTGCTCGTCAATGCTCACGCTGCTTTGGTTGAGGTCAGTGATCAGCTGGTTGAGTTTGTCTCGCATCCTGAGCGTAACTCTTCAGCTAGGCTAACTCTTGGACTTAGCTATTTGTGTACGCTAAGTATTGCCTGCGCTAACTATTGCCTCAGCAAATCTAGCTGTTCGTAGCTATACAAAAATGTTCAACAAAACTTCCTTTGATCAAGAATGACCAAGAACACAAATCCAGCCAATAGTCTTTACCTGCAAGTCCGTAAGCTTCGCATCACCACCGAACCTCTCGGCGAGGTCTTGGAGCTTCTTGACCCGCTTTGAGATGCAGGCCCTGGGCTGGGAGTTTATCAAAAGCGAGTTCCCGGCTTTGAGACGCAGACCGTTTTTTCTGTTCCATAAAAAAAGCACAAAGCGCATTCAAACACAGAAGTAGAGGTTGGCAACGGCGAGCAAGTTTTAGTGATACAAAAGCGTGCCAAAGGCAAGCTAACGTTTAAAAGGGTCTTGGACCAACCAAGACTCAGCATTTTGGTCGCAATGCTTGAAGGAAGAGCATCATGTTCCAAGTCAGGAAAAGTCAGGAATCCCAGCCTTTTTCCTCTCTGAACGGGCCAAGTCTTCTGCTGCCAAGGCCTCCGCGTCCTCTCCAGAGAGCTCTTCATCCGAGGACAGCTCCTCACCTTTCGGCGCAAATCATGAGATACTGACTGGAGTTTGGGTGAAGGAGCTGCAAATTTGGGAGAATGACAATTCAGCAGCAACGTGTGCATGTCAAGCCTTCTTCTGGTTCTGGCGCTTCTCGTTTCTCAGCTTTGGAATGAGCTTTGGAATGGGAATCCCTGGAAGAGTTGGCCTTCAGAGACGGTTTCGGGGGAACGCCGTCAGTAGGAACACTTTGCACAGGAACTGGGGCTTGCTTCGGCAACGGCAGCATGGACCCACCCGGAACAAGGCCGGCGGGCTCCATGAACTTGGAAAGGTCCTTGCTGTCGGCCACCTGCTCCAAGTTCAGCCGTCGGTTGACTTGGAGTTTGTTGGATCTCCTTGGGACCGCATACAACTACTTCATTTGAGTCAT